TAGCTGTCTAAGGAAGGGATGGGAATGGTTTGTAGGGCTGTAGTTATTGGAGCTGTAAATGTTGGTGGGGGCAGGTGCCCCGCGGTCATATTACCTAATGTCTTCTATACATATAGGTAAGTACCTATACAGTGTTGGTCACTAGGGCGAAGGGTAATTGACTGTATTGAACTCGACCAGTGAGAGCCTAGCCAGAATATTGAATAAAAATGAAGGTGTGGTGTAGAAGTGAAGAATATGGCCTATGTAGGGCCCCCACTTGCAAACGCAGTGCCCCACAACAGGTGCCGACATAGGTACCGATACAGGTTGTAGCAGTAGCGACCCACATTATTCCACTATATGTAGCGTTTCGTACACAGTAGAGACAGTGGGATTCCTCCATCCCATCTACATATTCAATACAGACTACAGTTTTGGACTGCACCCTTACACAGGTACCTATAACGTATTAGCCACCCTTTTGGGCCAGCCCTTTTCCCATACAACATCGCAATTTTTAACCAACTACAACTCCGCCGCAACACGAAATAGAAAATCTATTTTTCGATACGATATATATAACGATACGGCAATACCGAATATAAAATTCAAAAAAATTAAACCTTTAGCGTAAAAAAGGAAAAAATTATTATGCTTATAAACCATTTAAATTTAAGTAGCTTATAAACATAATAATTTTTTTCTTTTTTGCGCCGCGTAATTCGCTCCTTTAATTTCGATATTTGGTATCGCTATATCGTCGTATATATTGTGTCGAAAAATGGATTTTTTATTTCGTGTTGCGGCAGAGTTGTAGTTGGTTAAAAATCGCAATGTTGTATGGGAAAAGGGCTGGCCCAAAAGGGTGGCTGGCCCAAAAGGGTGGCTAATACGTTACATGTACACAAGTACATGGATAACTTCAATACAATACTCTATGTACCTTATGTACATTACAAGCCACAGAAAGGTACCTAGCTATAGCAGACAACTGGGTACCTGGATAGCTTCAATGTTTTAGGTACACTCTTTAAAGCTCTCTTAAATACAGGCTCCTATAGACACAATACCCAGATGTACATAAGAGTTCACGTACAACCTTCATCTAAAACCCATCTTCTTATGCATATATCTGCCATTTCAATTGTTGGTACTATGCTTGGTTAAATTTAGCAGGTATACAGCTATTGCCATCACATTCTTGCTACCAATACCCCTTTGGGTGATGCCTTGAGATTCCACCTAGAACTACTCCCAAGTGTAAAACTCACGCCTCCTTTCTACAGACACAGAACACTAAACTCAAACACTGGATAGTCACTCTTGTCGGCGTCTTCCTCTCATAAGCATGTTCATCCTATGATAATAGTATCTATAAGTAGTGCAACCTTGTGCATCAGTGCTGGCCGCTCTCATTGAAAGCCTGTTCCTCTGCAAAGCTATAATGGCAAAGGTTCATTGATCTGGGAGCAAGAGTTTGTCTTTGCTTCAGTTTTATGTGCTCAAATGGTCTACGGATATATGAAAGAACCGCAACAGTGCTATAGAGAGACTGATATTGAGTGTCTTTCGGTTTCTAGGCGTCTTATATCTTAGCCCACTGGTGGGCTCCATTTCTAATACAAATAAGCCAGGCACTTTCTCTTCTTCCATCGGCTGGAAAATACTAATTATATCCAACCCGTCACATTGACTCTCATGTGACTGTTGTCTCTATGCAATCTACCAATGAGATGTCGACATACTTCCCTCACCAAGACTTGGGCCAAGTCCCGTCAGGTCCATTCCATGGGTCAAGTCGGGATTGTGCCTGTCAGTGCCCACTTGCTAATGCCGCAACACCATCAAAAAGGCAGGTTGCTGAAGATGACGATGATATCCAATTCATCTCTGAAAAACCAGTGAAGAGACGTAGAATCAGTGAGAAGAAGTCTACAATAACTAAGCCTCACCAACCAATGATTCCTTTTGCTGCTACTCCGAATACTGAATCTACTGCTGTCCCAATTCCCCCTACAGCAGCAACGCAAATGCCCGAAAATGACTTGAAAAACATGGAAAGACGATTGACCACAGGAATGGTTGGCCTACAGCCCGACATCCACGCAGTTGAGCTTACTTACGCCCTGAGGGGGGTATCCATGCCAGTGCTGGAGAACTTCGTGCTTAGCCAGCCTTTCCGCAAGCCTCGGCCGTTGAGCCCTCCAGAACTGTCACCGAAACAGCTTCCACCAACAATCCCTCCAGCGACGATTAGTGTCCAAAGTGATCAACATATGCCCGGAACGTTTGGCTTTGAGAAGACGGCAAACTCCCAATTACTCTATGGAATCTGCAGCCATACTTGCTGTCAAGCTGAGAAACCAGCCATGACACCAGACCTGATGAAAACTGCGATTGATACTCACCAAGCTCATGCTTTAGAGACACCCATCAAATTAGGTGGCCATGCTACTCAAATATCTTCTAATCATGCTAAAAGTGTTGCTCTAGACAGTACACTAATGCCGCCGCCTCCTCTCGCTACTCTAACCCCCCCTGAGGCATCCCACCACACACCTTGTGTGGGAAGTAACCCAAGACTATCAGAAAACTATCACCATAATAATAATTTAGCTAACTCGAAAAAGCACTCGTGTCAAGTGTGCTCTCGGATGAGGCACCAAGCTCAACTTGCGCGAGTGCAGGGCTTACCGATAGTAAATACGGCTCTTCCTCCTCACTTCATATCACAGCACTACTACCCTTCTTACAGCCAACATCTATCTCCCCAAGTCATGGCAGCACCTACGAGCAATATGCAAAGATTCCGACCGGATTTTGTACCAGTAATGATTCCAAATAATGGGAGCTCCTTCGTGCCTTTGACACCTAGCTTACAACAAACAACTCCACCCCAGCATCTAGAATCCGAGCAACAGAAACAGCCTCCTTCAGAGCAATCAAACAAACCGAAGTCACCGCAGACAAGTCATCTAAATAACACCATCACTGGCTCTACTGCGACCTCGAGCCCCATAAAGCCGCCCCCATCTCTCATTCAGCCCACATATCGCAAACCCTCGCCCAATTTAATAGTCGACGTAGCCGAGACGTGCCAGCAGAAGTTCCCATTCGAGGAAGTTGCGAAGAGGCATGGTGTGCCGGTAGATAGGGTGTTTGAGGTCTTTGCTGCCATTATCCAGGTCAGTCACCAGAGTCATTCATTCCCTTTTTCATATATTCGGGGAGCTTTAGCTGCCTAAACGGAGGTTTTCGTCTCTCATTTCTCCTACAAGCTCCGGAAACCATTTCAAATATTCACTATAGATCGCAATTACTGACTACAGATATTTCGATAGGTGCCCCTCCTACGGTGCCCGACGGACCGCCGGAGACCGGGAAGATTGGCCACGGCGCGCATCAAGGAGTATAATAGAGCAAAGAAGGAACTACAAGACTCCGGAGCCGGCAACCCTGAAGGTGGGAGACGGGGCATTGTTGCGAACTCGATGGATATCGCCCAGAAGTTGGGACAAGTCGAGTTTCCAGAGGGGTTCATGGTAGGCGACAGTCACAACAGGGGTGGGAGCTCAGAGAATTCATGAGGTATAACACGCCTAATGTTTACTAGACCAAGAGATAGATGTACAATAGAATTCACGAGTCTTCATCGCACTTAGCACGTAAATACAAACCTCGGAGGTCATGTAAATTTATAACTTAGATAACAAAATTCATGTAAAGATTTCACATAAACGGTGATTACGTAAATTAATGTATGGTAATGGCTTTTTTTTTTTTGATTGAAGGGGTCATGCAAGCTTATAAATTGCTCTGAATGTGAGATATGAACAAGCTCTACAACCTGCAACGTTATTATTTTAGGATACTACAATCTAACCTACGATTTGCTCTTATCTTTATCTTCCCTCTCGAATTCATCGGCGAGTTTGAGCCATATGTCAAGATCCTCTTCATCTTCAACAGTATCGCTCTCGCCTCGGCTTCTATCAATAAACCTAGCCTTTCTCCTAATTTGGCGTACGGGAACAGTGGCATCAGCATGATCTGAGTCGTGCTTCTCTTGTTCTGCACGCCACCGACTTACCTCAGGATCCAATTTCAACTCGTCCAGCGAGAGTGATGAATACGATGTGGTAGGAGCTGTATTCTCAGATAAGTTAGGCGCATCCTGCTCTCTCTCTACCTGCTTGCCCTTCGTTCCGGCCTTCTTTGCCTGCCGCTCCTGCAGCCGAAGAAGCAGATAAGGATCGATCTCATTCAAGTTTTTGCGATAAGTAATGTAGGCTAAATGGTCATCGATCAGCCTGTACCTCTTCTCGATGGCTTCTTTACCATCATCTGTTAGGTATGTTTCTTCTCTCCGCCAATCATCCGACGAAGTATCAGAACCCAAATCCTCAGAAGTGGCTCCATAAATCATTTTCTGCGTGTCAGCTAAATTTTGGTGCATGCTCCGATTTATTTCTTTCCCGCGCTCCGCGAGGCTCTGAACCCTGGCGTCACGCTCTTGGTACCCGGCACCCTTAAACTGTGACATTAGCTCGGCGGCTCGGGCCTTTTCATTTTGTTCGTTGGTGGACATTGTTGTTTGTTGAGTACCTAGGTAGTTAGGGAGAAAGGTCTGCGCTTTTCTATTGTACGGATGGACTTTTGGGTAAGCAATGAAGTCAATCCGATGAATGCGATGGATATCTTTGCTGTTAGCAACTAGACATCTACAGTCAGGGTCAATTTCGAGGACTATATAGAAGCAAGCCAATTTTTAACAAGGGCCGTGTTATCAAAACGACCTTTCAGTGCTTCTTGTCTTGTTCTGCGACCTTGAAGAGATTTTTTTATCCTCGAGTTTATTAGATAAAGGGCACATTGTGTTCAATCAAATTCATAGTACATAACAATAGTGATTCTTGTCGGCTTCTCTGTTCCTTCTTTATTATTATTCACATCAAGTTGGAGTCCTGAGTGATTGATAGTCCTGAACTTGACTACCAAGGAAACATGTTCTATTATCATCTCGATTGGTCTAGTGGTCAGGATACCTGCTTGTCATTCAAGCTTGGCATCTACGAAAGTGGATTCTAGAATTCGCAGGTGGCCGGGGTTCGATTCCCCGATCGAGAGTCAATTTTTCGTTTTTGCCCTGCGTGTATATTATTTATTCAGTTCCGTTGAGTTGCCCTTTACTTTTTCAAATTGAATTGATTAAACTCCTTTTTGCTGTTGAAGGCAGAGACTGACGGACTTCTCTTTTTTTATCTACCTAATCTATGGGTAGTCATAAATAGTTAAACCAGAGGCTTCGCGCCCTTCAATCACTAAAGTTACTATGTAGTGAGGGAGAGAGCGAGTGGCGAGCATGTGACCAAGAGTTTGGGTCAACTGCCATGCTTGTTTAATAAAAGCACATTTAAGAGGGCGAATGAACATCAGGTTACTTGTATATAATCAACACAAGCGGGTTTTCATTAGGGTTGGGGGAGGGCATGGAGCATTGATCACGAAATTCCTTATATTTATCGCTCGTTGTTGTTTTAAACTTTCGCCTGCCTGGTGCTATCGGTGATATAAATACAGAGTCAAGCAGGCAGTAAGCTTAACTGCACCTATCACTTTAGCATTACGATTCCAAAAGGCACAACAGTAGGCAGGCGCAAGCCCATGAGCTAGTCTCTAACTACCACCTCTATCATATGAACGAACTCCTTTCCCCGTTCCTCTATAACCAGTCTAGGTAAGTCCAAAATGCTGGTTTTACAGAATGATCATGTCCTCGCGGTCTTTGCCAGTTCCGATGTAACCAACCTATGCATTTTAGTAATTGCGAGTGGATGGGAGGCCATTGCAGGCAACGCACCTTGATGCCAAGTTCTGACTCAATAAGCTGGATGTACTTTTGAGCTTGGGTGGGCAGATCGGACCATGTCCGTAATCCCTGAGTTGAGCTCTGCCAGCCTTCGAAGTCGATGTACTCAGGCGTACATTTCTCTAGCTACAGAGCTATTAGAACCCTCCTACAATAACGTTATAAGCATCGAAACTTACGAAGTTCAAGTCGGCAGGGAAGCTTGTAATCCTTTCTCCATCAGGTGTGATATACGCCACAGCGACTCGGATTATTGGGAATGTATCCAAGACGTCAACTATGTATCTCAGTTAGTCCTGACATTAAATGATAGGTAAGGTATAATTCGAAAGCTCCTACGCTTTGTCAAGTTAAGGGTGGTATAGTCTGTCAAGATGTACGTTAGTATTAGATGGTAAGCAACGGGTTCCAACCACAAGACACTCACAATTCACAGCAGCGGAGTGCTTGAGAACTACAAGGTCAAGCCAACCGCATCTTCTCCTTCTGCCAGTAGAGACACCCTAAGAACAATTCAGCTTCGGGTATAAACCCATGAAAATATCTGTCTTGGATAAGCTTACAATCTCTCCGCCGATGTCCTGTAGTTTCGTGCCGACATCTCCATGTTGTTCCGTGGGGAAAGGACCGCCACCAACTCGCGTTGTCTGTGAAGCCAACCATCTTAACACGGCTTCAGGCTGGATTAAGGGTTCTTTCTCTAACTTACGTATGCTTTAACGACGCCAATAATGCTCCTATAATGTCTAGGTAAATCTCATGATGACGGAATGCGGACGGAATACCAGAGGTACTATTCTGTTTTGTTGGTACCATTACAGAAAATGCGCAAACTTACTTGATGTTAAAGGGGCTGAGCGCTAAACCCTGGATGCAACCGCCAACCGAGCAGTTTGAAGATGTGACGAAGGGGTAGCTGCCGTAATCCAAATCAAGCACTACATCTTATTAGCCAAAAGCTTTCCTGAAGGTTAGCTTGGACATACTCAAGGCCTGGGAGCCCTCGATGAGAATCGAGCGTTTTTTCTCTTGCGCGGCTTTCATGTACTCCACAGCATCAACAATGTAGGGCTGCAGCTTTTCTCTGATGTCCACAAACTTCTGGATCTCTTTCTCGACATTGTACACGAGGAGTTCACCATACCGTGCGCGATAGGCGTCAGCTAGTGTGCGCAATTTTGTTGCAAAATCATCATGGTAGATGTCACCAACTCTTAGGCCGTCTCGAGCGGCCTTTGTGCTGTAGGATGGGCCAATGCCTCGCTTAGTGGTTCCGATCTGGCTCTTACCAAGTGCCTGCTCAGAAAGTCCGTCGACGGCGGCATGCAGGGTGAGGTTCAAGTGGCACCGTGAGCTGACATGAATACGTTTGTGAACGTCTGGCACACCCTTGGCGTCAAGGTCGGCTAGCTCTTCAAAGAAGGCGTCGACGTTGAAAACGACACCCGATCCAATCAAATTGTCAGTACTGGGGCTAACCAGGCCGGACGGCAAAAGATGGAATGAAAACTTCTGAGTGCCGGTGCTGTGAGAGAAACTTGGTAAGCTGAGAACTATACAGGCATGTTGGTGATGTCACAATTCTCGTACTGGATTGAATGACCAGCATTATGGCCACCTGCTGCACGTGCGCAGATATCAAATGAGTTGGTAGCGAGAAGGTTATCTGTCAATTTGCCCTTCTGTAGAACAAACGGTCAGTCAATAATACCATACCTCAAAGTAAATCGGGATTAAAGTGGACGTAAACGCACGCCTTCGTCTCCTACACGCGAATTGAGTTAATTTCAGATCCAGGATACGGGCGGTGGCCCCGGCATCAGCGATCCTATCACCTCACTGTCCCTCGATGCTTGGTGCCGATATTGCACCAGCATTAAGAGTAAGGCAAAGCAAAGCATAGCAAAGGTTGGATCTGTGTCGGATTGCGGTACAAGGTTACTCACCCCATTGGGAGCCGAGAATGATGGAAGCCATGATGCTTGCTTGGAGGATTGATTTACTGCTGTGAGCAGACGGTGATATAGACCTGCAAATTACAATTGCAAACGACCAAAGAAAAGTCGCAGAAGAAATGGCGACTCTAAAAACTGACCAGCTACGGGGATGTAAACGCGACACGGTACTAGAACACTTTTGATGGTGGAGTGGGGCACTTGGAGGGGCTGATGATGTTACGAGCCAGCCAGCTGAAGAAGAAATCGAAGCCCTATAGTGACTCATCGTCGAATCAACGAGCTTACTCCGGCTAAACTAGGTCAGCGGGTAACGCTTTACGGGTGCTCCAGCCGTTGCGGTAATACGGCAGCTTGGTATCCGGTTACCGTCTTGTTAACGCCCGGTTACTGTCTGATTACTGACCCAGTAAATGTTGACCCGGTAATGTGGAAGGCAATTCGATTGAGATTGCCCCTCGTGCCCCTCTATGTATCCGAAGCTAAACCCCTCTCCTCCTCTCAATGCCCTTCCAACTCCCCTTCTCCTACTGAAGCTGCACCTACTTAACTCGGTGTTTTATCTCAAAGCCGAAACTACCCGATTTCTTTTTCCGAAAACAAACCTCTTAATGACATCACTAGTTAATATATATATTGAGGTTTCAATACCAATCTTTCCCCTCCGCCACCACGGAGTATTAGTGTTCATTGATCATCGTGCTTCGACAAGCGCTTTCTCTTTCTCTTTGACTAATCACGGCATCGGTTGTTAAACACTTTGGCCATAATGCTACGCAATAGCTTAATCGAGTATATTACCTAGGTAGATGATCTAGGACCAAACCTTAGGTTAATGAATCCTAGCTTACCCCTGCGAAGCTACGTCTTTCAAAGCAGTGCAAAGACCGTTACTAAAATCTAGATCACCAAGGCTAAGGCTATTCAAGGGGTAGAACCCAAAACGAATGACTAGGTGGAGGTTTGAAGATGCGAAATTCATAATATAATTCGTTAAATATAGAAAAATACACGTTGCCATATACTTATTTATTACCTTTAAGGCGGTACTTTGTAGTAGTCTAATGTTGGGTAGGTTGGTTGCACACCAATAATCACGTGCTAAGTAGCAAAACTTGCTGCCCCTCCTCGACTTTCCTTATCAGCTATGTCGATGGTGGGGTACTTATTTGTATCAATATTATCATCCCTAAAAAGAAGAGAGTGATTAAGCTCTCGAAAGAATCACAGCACACGTGTTGTACAGTTTTCTGCAATTCCCCTCTCGTGCTTTGTAGTCAATATGAGACTTAAGGATGTGCATCGGCTAGAACTGCCGCCCACGGCGGACATGCACGTCCACTTGCGACAGGACCAGGTTTGTGGTGTCATTCATTCCCTTTACAGTTTGGAATTGGGCTAATTGAACTGGTGTCTTGAAGGTTATGGACCTAGTGGTTCCCTCTATTCGAAGAGGAGGAGTAGACACCGTGTTTGTCATGGTATGTACAACCCCCCAAAAGGGGCATACTCAGGTATTCATTCAGTATTTTACTAATACGTCTTAATAGCCAAACCTACAACCGCCCGTTACTAGTGTGGCTGCTGCTCTTGAATATAAATCCTGTCTGCAAGCTATCGAGCCTCAAGTCAACTATCTGATGTCTCTCTACGTATGCTGCTCCCAACTAAAGGATTTGAAGGCCATCGTTAATTGACGATGACTAGCTTCATCCTTCAGTCACTCCTGATGTAATCGCTGAGGCTGCCAATGCTGGCATTGCAGGCGTCAAGCTGTATCCCCAAGGCATGTATTATTGATATAAAATCTCATCACCAGCTAAATCCTATGATATTAATGTTAGGATAGGTGTTACTACAAACTCTGAATCGGGGGTCGCTGGTGATTTCGTTGAGACCTACGCGCCCACTTTCGCAGCCATGGAGCAGTACGATATTGTGCTGAACTTACATGGAGAGGTACCCGGAACTGTCCCACAAGGCAACGTCTCGCTCGAAGAGCTCTTCTTGCCCACTTTGAAGAGGCTCAACGAGAAATTCCCAAAACTTCGCATCGTCCTCGAAGTAAGCAGCAGCTACCTGATCACTACTTTTATAATGTTCTAACATCGGTTATTTAGCATTGCTCTACTGTAGCGGCCATAGATGCAGTACGATCCTGCAGCCCAACGGTTGCTGGTAAGCTCAGCGCAAATCTCTATCTTTCAGACCCGACCCCGGAAGCTACTTTACGCCACTTATGGCAAGTTCTCTAATATTTTTGGCTACTTAGGCACAATAACGGCGCATCACCTGTACTTGAC